GCGGCTTGGGTGGAGCTGCAGTCCACGGAGGTGCAGATGCAGGCAAGGAGCACCAGAGGGAGTGGAGAAGAGACGACAGCGACGACGCCAGGGGCGCAGAGAGCAGGCTGGACATCTTCGCCCGTCTGTGACGCAGCCTCCACTCCTCCCGACGATGCAGACGCACGAACTCGACGGGGGAGCTGCGGCCCGAGCGAGGCCGAGCCTCTCCTGGCAACTGAGGAGAAGGAGGAGCGATGGGGGAGGGGCAGTGAGATGGGCAGGAATGCAGAGGAGGGGTGGTCGGCTGGGCCGAGGAGAAGGCGGGGGCATGGGTCACATCCCACCTCGTGCGGTGCGGCGGCGGTTGGCTGGGCGAAGGAGATGACGGCGGTGGGAAGAAAGACGCACCGTCACCGAGGAGGACGAACGGCGGCTAGAGGAGGAGGACGAGATCCAGAGCAAGAGCGCAGGGGGAGCGAGCTGCCGCGCCCGGATCCGGCGCGCCCCTCGACCCTGAGCTTGGTCGATCAGGACGGTCTGAGGACCGACAGCGGGTAGCGGCTCGGCCTCCTCCTCGATTTCTAGGCCTGGAGGAGGGGAGTGGTAGGAGGGAAGAAGGAATGGTGGCGGGAGCGCGACCGGGATGGGATGCGGCGGCGGCGAGCGAGCTCGGCGAGGAGAGCAGCAGCGGTGAGGTAGGCGGCATGAGAGGAACGGCGACGGGGAGTGGATGCTAGGGTTCTCACCCAATCGGCGCCTTGCGTGACCTCATCCATCCAGAGCCAACCAACAGACGACACACACAGACCCACCACAGGAAATACCGAATATACCTTCGGCGGGGCATGGTATTTTCGGCGGTGGCACGGGATATTTGCCCGCTGAAGGAGGCCACGTGCCGCACAGTCCACCATCCCAGCCCCAGTCACCGACAGGCATGGCCCACCAGCGAGGGACTCCACACGTCAGCGAGTCGGCCTAGTAATTCTGGAGTAAGAAAAAACAGTAGGGAAAACCGAGTGAAAGATACTATTCATCACTGTTCATTGTAGCAGTGATCTGGGCCTGATCCGACGGCCGATGTCATCCGGAGGCGAATCCTATGGTCCAGAATGCATCAAAGGAAGGATCCGACGGCCAGGAATCCCAAGCGAGGAGAAGGCTGGGTGTGCACTGCTATGCTTGTTTCTGGATTCAATACAAATACGATTAAAAAAAAGTGGACAATCGATCCATACAGGACCCGCATGTCATCCGCGCAGACATGCACACGGGACGGGACGCGCCCGTCACGCGTACGCGGCCGGCGCCAACCGTGGGGTGGCAACGGCCCGCAGCGGCACGGCCTTGGGCATCGTGAGCCCGAACAGCTCCTCCATGTCCAGCTTCTCGCCCTCCGGCAGCCGCCACTCGAACGCGTGCACCAGCATGCCCAGGAAGTACTGCACGAACACCATGCCAGCGAGCTTCCCGACGCAGATCCGCCGGCCGGCGCCGAAGGGGATTAGCTCGAAGCAGTTCCCCAGCGCGTCCACGCTGGCCGTCGGCCCGGACAGGAACCGCTCCGGCCGGAACTCGAGCGGGTCCTCCCACGCCGCCGGGTCCCGGCCGATGGCCCAGATGTTGACCAGCAGCTGCGTGTTCTTGGGGATGCGGTAGCCGTCCACCTCGCACTCCTCGCCGGAGAAGTGCGGGATGCTGAGCGGCGTCGAGGGGTGGAGCCGCATGGCCTCCTTGCAGACGGCCTGCAGGTAGGGGAGGCCGGCGACGTCCGACTCCTCGAGGCGGCGGCCGCGGCCGACCACGCGGTCCATCTCCTCCTGCGCGCGCGCCATGATGGACGGGTTTTTGATCATCTCCGCCAGCGCCCACTCCGCGATGATCGACGCCGTGTCCGTGCCGGCCGTGAACATGTCCTGCATGCGATAGTTTATAGTTTATTCGCTTGCACTGCAAAGAACAAATTAACGGAACGGAGAAGATTATGAAGAAGTTGGCGCTTACAAATACGAATCCCTTGACGTTGACTTCGGAGATGGTGTCGGCGTCGTTGCTGTCCTTGTTCTCGTCCGCCATGCTGGCCCTGAGCTTGTCGATGAAGTCCGGCCGGCCCTGCCGCTGCGTGGCCGTCGCCGAGTGCTCGTCCAGGAGGCTGCTGATCATGTCGTCGAAGCGGAGGTGGATTTTCCGCAGCTTCGCCTGCACACCCTGCAGGTCGAAGCGTGACAGGGCCGGCACGAAGTCGCTGATGTTGAACAGCCCCGACCCGCTCTGCACCAACGTGATCATCTCCTTGTATCTGCGCGCGCAAAACATTTTAAGCTAATCATCAAGTTCCTTCCTTCCAGCATCCGTACGTGCCGATCGTAACCATGCATTGCATTGCATTCTGAGATCGAGTACCTGTTGGCCTCGTCGCCCTGGGTGTCGAACAGCCTCTTGCTCAGCGTGATCTGCCCGATGATGTTGGCGAACGCGCGCACCAGCACGTCCGGCACGGAGACCAGCTCCCCGCCCACGGAGGCCCCAGCCACGTCGCGCAGCACGCGGCCGGCCTCGTCCCGGCGCACGGACGCCCACTCCGACATGGCCTGCGCCCCGAGCAGGTGCACGGTCGACAGCTTCCGCATCTGCTTCCACCTGGGCCCCTGCATGCCGAACGCGATGGTCTGGAACCCGTACGTGATGTCCACGGCGCTGGCGACGGCGGGGCGGTCGGCGAAGCGCGCGTCCTGCACCTTGAGGAACTGCCGCGCCGCCGCGGGGGACGACGCCACCACGACGCCGCAGGTGCCCATCTTGAGGTACATGACCGGGCCGTGCTTCTGCGCCAGCGCCGCCAGCCCGGTGTGCGGGGTCGGGCCGACGAGGGGCAGCGCGCCGAGTATCGGGAAGCCGCGAGGGCCCGGCGGGAGGCGGCGGCCGTCGGAGCGGATGTACCGGAGCACGAGGTGGACGAGGACGAAGAGGGCGGTGCCGGAGAGCACCCAGGGATCCGTGTACACCGCGGCGAGCTGCATGGCGTACGTACTACGGGTGCAAGTCTCAATGCTGCGTAGGAGCACTGTGTGTTGTGGAGAGGGTTCCGCTCCCGTCACATTATATAGGCCGGAGAGGTCACCCCGAGTAAAGTGTTGGCTATGTTGTTCTTTCCTTCTTTTTCCCTTTTCGCGGGGAATAATATCACTCTTCTGACTTTCACTTCAATCAGTGGATCTATGCACATATATAATCATCTTGTATATTCATCTATAGATAGTCCCTATCGTTTCGCTCTGACTTGCAGTTCTACCAACCGATAATTTGATACGTATATAATCATTCTGTGGTTCCTCTATAATAATCATCCTGTAGATAAGACATGATACTCCACTAAGCGCCTGTTTGGAGCCCGTTAAAATTTACGTGACCACGGGTATTTAGCTCAAGATTGAGCTAAAAAATACTATTGAGCACGCAAAATTTACCCTCATTCCAACAAGAGCATCCACAACCAGGCACCTCAAATCCCCCTCATACTAGGCTGACGGCCCGGTCACTCACTAGTCAAAAAAAGCGACCCTGGCGAAGGCATCAAACTGGTCTCAAATGCCTGGGCGAAACGACACCCCCCATATCCAGCCCAAACCTGGGGTGGATATGGGCGGCGCCCAGGCCGCGTCCGCCATGTTGAACATGACAGCCTGCCCCAACAAAAATTGCACCAAAACCCCCCACCGACCTACCCGATTTTACTTGGTCCTCTCCCCCTCCGTGTCGAACGTCTCCTAGCTCCGCCGCCACCCTTGCATCGGATTGGACCTTGCCCTCGACGTGTTCGACACATTGTTTGTCCGACCAGGTTTTTCGGTGATTTTTTTTCGTAGGCAGAACGATGGATTCCGATTGTTCATCAGACGAGCAGTATAGACCGACAGAGCTTGATGAAATGATTCAAAAGGGTGTCACTTTGTGAGGGATATGAACTGTCACTATGAATCTTCTTTGTTGATAAATCGAGAAGATTCACAGTGACGGTCTATATCCTTCGGAAAGGGTGCAATGATGATCGAAGCTTACCGATTATGGACGGCACGGCTATTTAAGCCGGTTGTGTTGCTCATAGCTTGGCAAGGTGGGATTAAAGCCCCAAACTCGCCGGCCCAACACGGATGTTACTTCTACACTGGAAATATTAAGTATGAATATTTTATTTGGTGTTTAACAACCCGCCGGTCCAACCCGGACTAAACATTCAAAATGGTCGACGTGCATCTGTTTGCATGTAGTTTGTGTTTTGAAAATAATGTTTGTGGTTGCAAAGGGCAAAATTTGAGGCCTGCTCGGTCACTGTCCGCAGGCGTGTCCGCGGACGTATAGGCACCTGAATTTGCATACCATGGTCGTAGATGAATAGTCTTCTTAGGCCCCTTTGATTTGCATGATTTGTAAAAAATACTGGAATAGCAAAAATGCAGAAATTAAGTGGCATGTCATCCTCAACGCTACAGAATTAGTTTTTTTTAGTGAAATTGTTTCCATGTGATTTTCATTAAGAAAACCATGGTAGTCTTCAAAATTAGTTCGGACGTTTGATTGTGCGCGTGAAACCTCCTAAGAGAGCATTAGCACAGTTGGCCCATGAAATATAAACTACGGTGATGGTTCAAACAAATAGTAGATCTGACGTCCAAGATCACCTACATCTAGCAAATGGAAAGCCAGAAACGCCCAGGCCGTGAGATAACTGAGATTAGACTAAGTTTTATTGTTCCATCTATGTGACTAGTCAAATTTTCAACCTAGAAACATGTGCATTCCTATGCACCCGTGGGGAGGGAATACCAAAAGAGAGCAAAAGGACCAGTTTTCATGAACCCCCTACGCTCTATGTGGGTTCGTGTCTGTTGATTCAAACATTTGGATGAACTTATTTACGTGTCATATTGGTACAATGAAACAATATTGTTTGTTACGGGATGTTGTTCTTTTTTTTTCTTACCTTTTTACCGCATTAACAAATTAATTAACCAAGTCAGACTTGTATTGGATACTTGAATTTTGAATACTCATATAAAAGGGGCGCTGCTACGTGTCATCTGGGTCGCGAACCGTCAGATCTGCGCCATCGAGTGGCCAATCGTCGCCCTCCACCATTGCAACAGACATAATGTTGCGAGAATCTTTGCAGCTGAGGTCATGTTGCAGAAAACCTTTACAATAGAGGTTGTGTTGTAAAAACTTTTGCAACAGAGACCATATTGCAGAAAAAACCCTCGCCTTAAGCATTGCAACATTGGTTATGCTTTAGACACATCATTGATCTTGCAGTCGTTCAAATCCGAATTAGGAGAGAGTCAACGGAGCGAGCGCCATGGGAGCTCGGCCAGGAGCTCATGTGTGGAGAGAGAGGGGTCTAAGCAGACAGGAGGAGGGAATGAGAAAGGGGTTGGGGCAGCGTCCTCCGATAATCGTCGGTAGGGCGAAGGCCGTGCTCGCGATGGTGCATGCATGTCTCTGACGCTGGGAGGGAAAGAGTGAAGTGTGGTTATGAGCTAGGTTTAGAAGAGATGGGATCCTAGAAAAGGACGTGAATAATCAACCTCATCGACGGCTGCATCATCAATTTGGTGAAGTGATTTAAACCATTTTCGCATATAATAAGATTTCTCATCCAACTTTAATCCAATATACTCAACATTTTGCAAAACTAAGCCAAAAGCCTAAAAAACTCGTTTTGGGGTGTTGGACTTAACTTATTTTCACCCCACCTCCTTCACAATGGAAATGGGCTGGGAGTAGGGCGGCTTCCGACGGCAGCTACTTGAATATCTACTTGCCACTGAAGTTGATGGTAATTACAAGAAAACTGCCACCATGCCTACTCACTGTAACCTAGCCTCCCTGCCCGTCCAAAAAAAAGGCAAATGCTCGCCCTAGCATCGCGAGAGAACAGGGCAGCATTGCTAGGGATTCCGCCTTTGCCACTCGAACCGCTGTCTTCGGTCACCGCCAGGCCTCCGTTGCCCCCCACCTATTCCTTCCCCGACACGCAGCCACCAACCCATGTCGCTCGCCCATAGAGTTCCCTCCCCTCCCCAACAACTAACGGTGTTGGTGTCCCGCGACACTCCACCAATGAACAGAAGCACACGACGAATCCTGCCGACCAACCAGTACCACACCATGGAGGTCCTCCTCGCATCCGATCCATGCGTGGATACGACGCCGACCAATGAAATCGACGAGCCCCTCCTACAACCCTAATCTCTTTGGTCACTTTGGTCCTCTTTGTTGACACCAGATTCAATCGTGGGCATGACTTGCAATGATTTGAGAAAAATGATTGTGGAACGAGATAGAAATTGTTATGAAATTATTGGAATATGATTACGGGGTTCTGAAAATTGTGGTGAAACAATAGAAATTAATGCAATGTGCGTTTTTAAAGGGGTATTGCAAAAAATTTACTGAGTATAACACAAATTAAGCTGAAGGTACATGAACTGAAAAGAACTGGCTGGTTATTCTCGTGAGGTTATTTTCATAGGAGCTAATATGGGGCTTGTTTTCATAGGAGATTATGCATAAGCCACAGCTCAAGAGAACTAGCCTTTAGAGCA